TGGGTGGTCATCTGCCTTGACCAGTTTGGGAGAGAGAGAGAGAGAGAGAGAGAGAGAGAGACACACACAGACACATTCCTTCCCTTCCCATCCCACAGACCTTGCTGTGAACAGTGTCAAAATTCAATACATTACTGGTGAGTTTTTCAATGTAATTATTAACGCTTTAAGCAGCCCAAACAGACTAACCGTTACTCCCCATACTCTGGGGTTGTGTCTAAAAATGTTAAATATTTCATACAAACAACAAAAGTATCTGCATGGATCAATGCCACAAGTTGAGAAAATGTTGTTTGTGGTATGGGCAAACTGACCCTTCAGCAAAGATGGGCTCTTTTGTAGCAATCTGCAGTCTTGTAAATACTACTTATGACACTACAGGTCTCTCCTCTACTCTAACACTGTTCAGGTGTTGTTTAGATGGGTCTGTTTGAGCAGCAGAACATCCTAGTTTGGAATTCTGTTTGGCTTTAAATAACAAAGTTTTTGAAGTCTCACAAGCAGAAACTCAAAAGTAGAAACTCAAAGTCTTTACTGTTTCACAGTCAGGTTGTGTGTCAGGCATATTCGTCTCTGGCTGGATGATTTCCATTTGCAGACATGCACTGCATAGGCTTGTGTTGTGGGGATTTTTTTTGATATGCTAAAGAGGCCTTTCAGTTTTCTGTTAGCGATCATATCTAAAAGTGACAAAAAACCATTCTGTTAAATTATCTTGAAGCTCAGATAGTCATCACTAGTGTACTAGTAGAACAGATATACAGTATAATCATCTTGGGTGAATAATAATTAAACAATTTCACTTCACTCTCAAAAAGAGTTTGTGAATTGTGCAGCTGAAAGAGCATGAATACAGATGAACCTCCTCACCAACCGAATGTAGACCACTGGTTTACCATGCCATTCAAAGCTCATTCCACTATACTCAAATCCACAAACTACCAAATGACAGATAAAGCAGCATTGCACAATGACAAAGCAGTATTTATCCAAACACAGGTAAGCAAAGATGAAAATGCACAACTTTGAGAAAGAATATGTTAACTAATGAGGCGTTTTACCTCCAATAAACTCCCACACAGGCATTGGCAGTTAAAGGTCATCTAGTACAGTGTGGTACAAGTAGCAAGAACAAAATGGTGTGTGGTGACATCCAGGCAGATTCTGCTCCCTGTCAATAAGGAGAACTTCTGGCAAATTCCATTGTGACTCTGCTTAGTGTACATCAAGGCAGCAACAAAACCCTGCAGTTTTTCAATTATCATTCGTTATTGAAGTAAGAAAGTAGAGAGCTCCAGTCTTTTTTTCTCAATTTATCTTATAGACTAAAAAGCTGTTCCACTGATAACAGCCTTTGTTTAACAAGTGGTATGCTCATCCTCAACACCCAATCAGTAGGCTTAGCACAATACAATGCGCATGACATTACAGACGACACTCACAGTCAAAAGTGGCTTACTGTACCAAAAAAAGAGCAAAACTTCATTCTATTCCCCTAAAATTATACAAAAATGTTACAATTTTATTGAGACCCACAAAAAAGTAAAGCACAACAGTAGAGGTCACAAAGTAGCACTACACTGCATTGCCAAAGACCGCTTTGAAATCACGCTCAAAAAGCCTATCCCAAATTACTACCTCCGCAGAGTGCCTTCCTCTTTCTCCTCTGAGGTCTGGGTAGTACTCTTTAATGAGACTTGGAAAGAATCAAAAACAGCAGAAGACAAGAGAGAGAAAGAGGAAGAGGGGAGAGCATTATACTGTATGTTAGGTTGGGAGACTGGGAATTGAAACGAATGAATGTGGCGTTGCGTGCCTCTCTACAGTCGCAGAGGACCAATTATACTGACAGATACTCAGTAACCTTTAGCAGTGTCTAAATGAGGTTGATTCCTGAGGTAAATATGTAGCGTCACTGCTCAATACAGCAAAGTGCTGCTGAGGTTGTTTGCTGGCCCAGTCAACTGGAAACTGTTAACAGAGGGACTTATTTGCATCTTACTGATAATGGTGTCTGGGACCATAAGCATGACATTACCAAACCATGAAAGCATTGTTGTAACATCCTATTAAGCATTTGATATTACAGATACAAATCTGGTAATTCACAAGAGAGTGAGTTTAACAGCCAATTCTCTACAGATGGAATTATGTATTAAAAAGACTACATTTGGATGATATTTATTTAATTTAACTAACTCAAGACTGCTGAAGCCTGCATACTGCAGAAAGTGTTTTACATTGGAGTCGTACTAAGAAGAGATCGCTTCATGACCAGTATGGAGCGGAGGAATGATTACAGTGGCCAATGACTTCCATTTCAAGACAGACTTGAGAAAATGTGAACCTATTCTTTAATAACTTGAAACACAACTGCAACTTTATTGCAACCTGTACAGGTGTTGGTACACTAACGAAAGATTACTTTACTATTACTATACTAAAATATACAGTAAAAAATAACAATCCATATTTATCTTAAATAAACACAAAGATATCATTGTTTGGTACATGGCAACTGTTTTCCTTTCCCATGGAAAATTCCCCAAAAGCCTCTATAAAGATTCCATTAGGACAATGTCAGAGTAATTGTCTGAATAAGTAATTAATGAACAGTGAGGTAATTATGATCTCATTTTGCAACCCAGTATCATAGTGACAGACAATGGTGCAAGTGAAATATGGTGTAATGTTGATGTGTGTAAGGCTGAGTAATTGTGTGTGATTATAAATGACCAAAGAAAGAAATAAAATGTAATAGTTAAAGCTTAGATAGTCATCTGACGTCGATGTCATGCGATGCCAATTATGGTTATATGTCTTTATAGTTGTATAGCATATTAGATCATTTATAGTATAATATACTGTAGTTTAGTATAAGTGGTTTTTAGTTTGTTTTGTTAAATTTATAAGCAGTTGTATATTTTCAGCAGAATTTCCTTGAAAGAGCTGCCCCAATTATTCCTCAGTTAAAATACTTCATTATCAACTCATTATCATTCATTATATGTGTTGAACTGTTTGTTTGCCTGTGGACACATTGTCAACATTTTTGGTCTGTTCAATTGACCTGCAGTGCACTCGCTAAGAGACTTGACGCTTTGATAGCAATTAATTTGAATAAATTAATTGAAGTGTATCAACTGAACGCCATCTCAATTTTCCCCATAATCAAAAACCAAATTACAATTTTTCTTCCTATGAAGAGAAGCTTCCTATGAACTTACAGTTGCTTATCAGTTCATTTTTATGACAAAGTATTACTAAAAACATTAATGAGGAATGACAATATTTATGGATTAATTCACTACAAGGTCATGAGGGTGTCAGTGTTACTATGGTGATTTGAAAATATATAAACCATAGTGTTGAAAAGCAGCACAGGTGTGCCAGTATGAGCACTGTGTGACTATGAATATGCTCCAGTGCACAGTGAGTCATACACACCTGAAAATTACAGAGCAGACGAACTCTGTAACTGACTGAGAGAGGCTAGTGCTGAACAATGAAAGGAGACAGTCATAGAAAGACTCTTGAAAAGAGAGGACATAAAAAGTTGAGTAGAAGATTCTTTGAGTACATGTGTGTGTATATGTGTGTTTGCAATTGTAACTCAGGTGCAAAGACTGAAACCTTATATCATCCATTTCTTCGCTCTATTCTCACAAATACCGTGAATTGGAACCGGTTAATATTTCTAGACAATTGCAGAGAGTATCAGTGTTCGCAATTGATTAATCAGCCTGTATTGTAGTTGAAGAAAATGGATTGTTTTTTTTCCCAGGGCTGTGTTTAGTGAAGATTACCACCTTGCAATCACAGAGCCCTTATTTAATGACAGAAGTATGGAGACATGCCACTGAAGAAAACAAAATTTAAAGAATTGGAAGAAAGAAAAATCTATAACCTTGTGCCAATTGTTTTTATGTAACCAACTATTTGACAATTATACACTTGTTTCCTCAGACAGACATCATTACCACACCGACAGGTGAGTCAAGTTAAGTCACATCATGTCAACATGTCTCAATGGGTTTTACAAACCCACAACAGTCAGAAACTGTTTCACACCCCGCCCAAGTTCTCTAATGAGACAAGAAGGAGGAAGCAAACATCTTGAAGAAGAAAACATGGAAAAAAAATAATGGAAGGACCCTCTCAAGAGAAAATTCCAAAAGAGACCCCCCTTCTAGGATGGCCGGGATGCAATAGAAGCCGTAGGTGAGAAAATGGAAATTACAAATAAACAGAAAGAGAGAGACACTGACTCAAGCGTTGACAGCATGTCCTTTCAAACACCTGCTGCCAAGATGCTGCTGGGCATAGGTGCGACCATTAAGGCAAGATATGT